AAGTTTAATAATAAAACAATTTATTTTTGGTTTAATATTATAAATTTTATAAAGATAATAATTAAGTATTCTGTTAGAATTTAATGATTATACTAATTATATTTTAGATTTTTTATATTTAAAATGAGATGTTTATCCTGTATTTAATTGTATTTATCTGCAATTAGTTACACGAATTCAGATATGAGATAAAATCGGATAGGGATGAACATGTTTAAGAGTTTTAACTAAATGCTTTATAATATAGTATAGAATAATGGACTCATTTATCTAGAAACTCAAAATTTTATTTCTGGTTAAATTGAAGGAATGAAAATCCATTTTTATTTTCATTTCCTATTATTTTCATTCTTTAGTAGTTTTTTGAATAAAAAAACTTTAAATGAGATAATTAAATTAAATTAATTGATAAAAGGGTTTTCTTTTTTAATTACTGTAAAAATCAATGGGAAGTGGATAAGTCAAATTGAAAATAATAAAAAGAAAGGATTAGAAAATATTTTAATAATATTTGGAATCCCAAGGATGGATGATTTATTGACATAATCCATACCTTTATGGGCCGGCTCTGGCCATAGGCTCAGGAAAAAAGCCCAAGTGCATGAAGCCCAACATATATATAGGTTTGATTTTGATATGCGCCTTAAAATAATTTCTATAACCAGTTTACCACTCCAATCGGCCACGCTCTCCCGTTCGTCCTCTACTCTGTCGCCTCGCTCAGTTGCTTGCCGGCTGCCGTACGATTGCACGAACAGATTGACGATTGAAATCTCAAATCACCATTCACCTCTGTCGATCGAAATCTCAAATCACCACACACCACAATCGATTGACGATTCTAGAGGCTAGAAGTACCGAGTACGAGCTGTTGTCTGTTGATTGAAATCACCAGCTCGCTTCAACAATGTTGGCACTCGGCAGTCGGCTCTCGAGTCTCGCCTCTCGCGCTCTCTCTCTCTCTCGACCGCTCAAAATCTGATTGATGACTTGTGACCTGTGAGGTTAGGGTTATTTACTTTACTTATTTTATGTTTCTAATTCTTGTTTGATTAATTTATAATTTAGATGAAACCGCCCTCCATTACTCCATACGTAGGTTTTCTTTTAAGCTTTAAAAGTGTAAAGATGTAATACTGTATGTATCATGAATGCCTAATTGCCTAATGCCTACTTAGGTTTTCTGTAAACAACATTACAATGGGACTTGGGACTGTTTCTGGGTCTGTTTCGTTTTGCAATTTCTAAGTAAAATCCATTAAATGAGTCTGGTTACTCACTTGTGTTTGCAGACATTGCTGTGTGTCAAACAGGCAAAGCTTCTGCTGCCATTTGTTAATTGTTGGGTCATGGGTGAATGGGTGGTTGGCCTAAAGATGTCTATAAGAGTATAAGACTAATAGAACACAAACCTCTTCTTCCTTCCATAAAAAAACAACCATTTCTTGTTAGGTTGGTGGCCCAAATTCCTGATTTCCTGTTCACTATTTGTATCCTCTAAAGACTTCAAAATGTGAATAGAATTTCCATTCCTTTCCATTTGCTCAAGCCTTAAAATTTTTACTTTTTAGGGCTGTTTAAAAAGCTTTTTAGGAGCTGTTTTGAAGCGAGTTAGTATAGGACAAAGACTTAAGATTGATGCTTATGTTTTCTTCTCCTTTATCAATTTGTCCATGTTGCTTTGTCATTCCACTTTCTTGGCAATTTCACAACACAAACCACGAATGGTGATGTATTTTATATTGTGTTACATGGGGTTTTGGTTTATGTCCCCCCCTTTGCATCATATTTGTTATATTTAAAATAAATCGGCGTGGGGATGAGCCGCCTAGATTGACTAGGTTCCAAACCCTTCAGATAGTTTATTTTGGTTTTTATTTACACATATACGAGGCATTTTTTTGACTTTCTGCCATGGGCATCCAAAATCTTAGGACTGGCCCTTTCCTTCATCATCTCCATCTGCATCTGCTCATCATCTCCATCTGCATCTGGTTAGTAATGACAGTTTCAGCTGGAGGAGATGTTGAACATGAAAGAAAAGCAAAGCGAAAGCAAGTTGAAAGGGATGATGTGCTTGAATCAGAATCTGAAGAAGACGATAGTTCTTCAGAGGGACAAGAAGATCAAATGGAAGATGGCTCTGATTCTGAATCTGTGGGAGGCAGTGAAGACGATAGTTCTTCAGAGGAACTTGATGAGACAACGGTAATGGTAGTAACTTTTTTCTTAGGTTTATTGATTATTCATGATGGTTTTACTGTTTTAATTTTGTGGATTATGAAGGGTTTGATATCTGAAGATGTTATCGACACGTCAAATAAACAACCACCGGAAATGCAACCTATCAATGATGTCAAGGAAGCAAGTAGCAACCTTTTTCAAAAGAAGTTCGGTTTTGATGATGAGGAGAAGTTATTGCAAGTGATGATCAGAGAAGGGGACACTCATGGAACTCAGGGTTTTTGGAGGGGACAGATGGATTCAATGCGACTCAGTATTACTGTGAATGAAGTTCAGTTGTATGACAAGACAAGACGACTAAAGACATGGTATTCAAAGAGATTGAGGAATGATAGCAACACACTCTTGAATAACCAACAATTTAAGGTGTTTCAACTCTGTGACAAGATTTGGGGAAAGGAAGAAAGAGAGAATTTTAAAGATGTACAAAGTGAGAAGAAACAAGCAGTAGTAGATCATCAACCACATGTGAAGAAACTTAAGAAGGAGAAGAAGAAAAAAGAAGTAGAGCAATCACATGTGAAGAAAGTTAAGGGGAAGAGAATAGCATCAGAGGTGACAAAGACAAGGGACATGGAGTACAAACATAAGTACTATAAATTTGTTATTGAATATGTAAAGAAAAATGTTGTTGATTTTCCTTTTGATGAGGCTATGGAAGCGGTTCCGGTTTCGATAAGGCCAAGCTTGGAGAAGAAATGGTGGGATATGAATGAAGTGATGATGGAATCATACAAATCTTTGGTTCATGAAATCTTTGAAGCAGCAAAGCCTTCATCTTCTCATGTTTGATTAGTCCATGTCTAGTTTAACATCATGTGTTTTTGTTTTTGGAAGACTGGTTTAGGGCTTGTTTTGAAATGTTGGTAATTGTTTTTGTGTTTTTGCTAACAACTATATGTACTTCAATGTTACCAATACCTTCAATGTTACCAACTATACTTACTTTAGCAGGATGTAAACTTACTTATTTGGTGAGTTGTTACCAATAAACTTACTTTTGCTTTGGAATTGAGCTGAAATTACCTTATCGGTGTTCAATCAATAAATTAGCCACACATGAAATTTTACATGCAGTTGTTTCTAGATATGAACATATGAAGGACTACCATCAATAATTTCCTTATCAATGTTATGTTTTTCATGAACCAAGTTGCATACAGACACGCACACAATTAAATGATGATAGGTTTCATCAGTATCTATGCATTTTGTTTTTCAATTAGGCCACACCCTTCAATGTCCATGAAAAAGTTTGACGAAAAGCTTAGCCTGTTAATCAAAATCTGTTAAAGGTACCTAATCAGTATTCATGCAACACTCATTTCGTTACTATCGAGTTGCAAATAAAAGCTGGAGCTCTGATCGAAATCTGCGAATGACAGGTGGGTGTCTTCATTAGTTCTAGGCTTTAAAAATCAGTCAAGGTTAGATTTATAGAAAATTAGTTCAGGCTGATGTGTTTTACAAGTAGTTTGATGTGTTAGCATGTTGGAATTTTTGTTGCATTAGGGAGAAGTTACCAAAGAAGGCAGCTAGAGAACTGTTTTTGGTAGTTGAAGTAATGGCTACAAGTTTATCTTGCAACGCTGATATAGTTGAATTTGGGTTCACATGTTCTTGTTTCAGTCTATCAGGCAACATTTATTGTTTTTCTTTCCTCTTCCCTCAGTTTCTGTCTCTTATATGTTAATTTATGTGTACATGTTATCTTAGAATCTTGATAATAAGTTCATTTGTGTCTTCTTTTTTGATTGTTGCAGATTGCGATTTAAGTTATTCATGAACTTTTAATCAAGTGAACATGAAAAAAGAAGATTGATTTTGGAGGAAAAGCTAGCTGAATCCAATATGAGACTTTCCAAACTAGGTTTGGAGAACACTCAACTGAACAAGACTGTTTCAGCAAAGGAAAAGATGATTGATGAATTACACTCGGTCAGAGCTCAGGTGGATTATGATCTGAGTGCTGTTGTGGGTAAACTAGAATCAACACAAAGAGAGAATGCTTCTTTAAGTTATGAGGTCCGAGTGCTAGAGAAGAGCTTGAGATTAGAAATGAAGAGAGGGAGTTTAATAGACGAACAGCTGAAGTGGCACACAAGCAATACCTAGGGAGTGTCGAGAAAATTGCAAAGTTGGAGACAGAGGGCCAAAGACTATGCCTGCTTGTTCAAAAACGGCGGCCAGGCCCTGCTGCCTTGGCAAAGATGAAGAATGCGGTTGACGTACTAGGCACAGAGCCAGCTGAAATTACAAGAAGGTCAAACCCTTTCCCAATAGCATTAAATGTAGTTGACAATGCTTCTGAGCTTCTAGTAAAAAGATCACCTTCTTAACCGAGCAGTTGTGTGTATTTGAAGAAGAGAACAGGCTCCTAAAGGAATTCCTCAACAAAAAAACAAGTGAATTGTCAAAAAGTCAAACAGCTATGGGACCACCAAGAAACATTACCACATCTCATGAATTCTCAATGGTACTTCATCTTCTGACATGGGTAGTGATGAAAAGGTCAGCATGGCTGAATTTTGGGCACCATCATGCAATACTGTTGAAACTTCGGATATAGGCTTGATGGACGACTTTGTTGAGATGGAAAAGTTGGCGCTAGTTACTGTTGACAAGCCATTTGCAAGTTCTAGTCTTGTTCAGGAAAATCATTTGCATTGGCTTGATAATATATTGAAAGTGGTCGCGGAGCATGCCAGAATAATGCGAAGGAGTTCTAGTGACATGCTAGAGGATATCAAAGCTGCTTTGGCAGACAAATTAACTACAATCTTAACATGTGTGTCGACAAGAAGGATGCAAACGGCTACATTTCCGAGGAAATTAAAACCCCAGAAAAAACTTTAGGCAAGGATCCGGCTGATGAAGTGGTTAATCATGAAATCCCACCGACAGATCTGAGCAATGAACTGCTCCATTCTGGTGTGAACAAATCTATACAGAGACTTATTGAACTTATTGAAGGTATCAGATTGTCTGAGAAAGATGACAATTCATCCCCTTACAAGACGTCAGAAACACCTACAGGGTACACTGTTCATATCTTTCAGTGGAAAACATCTGAGCTTCGGGCTATTTTGGAGGCGTTTCTTCAAATCTGTAACAAGTTTCTAAATGGGAAGGTCGGTATGGAGGACTTTGCCAAAGAGTTGACTTCTGCTCTGGAATGGATAGTGAACCACTGTTTTTCCCTTCAAGATGTCTCAAGCATGAAAGATGAAATCAAGAAGCACTTCGAGTGGGATGAAACACGCAATGAGAGCGAGGTGGAAGGTGGAATCATCAATCATTTGTCAGAAGCCGATAAGTTGAACTTTCCAAAAGATCAATTACCAGGTTGGCCTATGGCTTCTTCTTGGAACATAAGAAATAAAATTTTCCACTTTGAAGAGCTTCGACCAAATGTGAGGGAAGAAGTTAGAAAATTGAAAGATGACCTGGCACATATGGAATCTATAAATAAGGATTTGGAAGGTAAGCTCCAATCGGAAAGTTCCAAGTGTGCATCCTTGATTATTCAACTTCAGGAATCAGAGAAAGTTATTGGAAGTCAGCAAACAGGGGTCGAAGCTCTAAATGAACAGAAGGGAACTCTCAAAGACCAAATAGAAGTAGATATAACGGTGAAAGAGCTTGACAAACATCCAATTAAGGTTATTGCTGAATGCAATGAGGCTCATCAAGAATCTACATCTATCAAGGAGCAAGAAAATAATACCAACTCTGATGAACAACTGGTTGCCACACACCTCCACCCGGAAAGGTAAAATTTCTCTCTTTGATTAAGAAGAAATATCTTCCATTTCTGTGTAATAATTTCCTGCTTGTTTCACCCTGCACCCAAATACTGTGATAAAGGCTCAGTTACTATTTAACACCTTTCTGAGTAAAGGCTGCATTAAAAAAGAAAAGAAAAGAAAGAGTAACAACTTGCCTCGACAGTTGAAAATCGTTATATTATGGTTAAAAGTATTCATTTTTATGATAATAAAATGCAAACTCTAAAATTCAAAGACCAAAAATAGCCTTCTCCTTCCCTCCCTTTCGTAAAGCAGATTTTTTTCTTTTTCTCTTTGCCTCCTTGGAAGTAGTTTAACCATCTAAATTATTATTGAAGACAATTTAGAATTTGTTGCTTACCTGGTTATGGTAGCTACTGCCAATATATAGAGATATACTTACGTAAACTTAGGAACAACGGCTACAATTTTGTTTTGAATTGCATCAAGGAAGAAACAATACATCATAAAGGGTTCTGTATACTAGGGTAAAGTAAATAAAATAACAAGAAAAGACTAATCTATCCCTTACAAACTAATTAGATATCCTGCCATCCCTCCATCCCAAAATAAGTATCTACATTACTATTTTAGTTTGTCTACACACGCACCTAATGTGGGACTTAACTTCAGGCTGTTTACTTAAATGCTTACCTGCTAGGTAGGCGTTTACCGATAAGATTCAACACTCAAAACTTACTTTAGCAGGATGTAAACTTACTTATTTGGTGAGTTGTTACCAATAAACTTACTTTTGCTTTGGAATTGAGCTGAAATTTCCTTATCAGTGTTTAATCAATAAATTAGCCACACATGAAATTTTACAAATTTTACATGCATTTGTTTTTAGATATGAACATATGAAGGACTACCATCAATAATTTCCTTATCAGTGTTATGTTTTTAATGAACCAAGTTGCATACAGACGCACACAGCTAAATGATGATTGGTTTCATCAGTATCTATGCATTTTGTTTACAATTTGGCCACACCCTTCGATGTCCATGAAAAAAGGTCTACGGAAAAGCTTAGCCTGTTAATCAAAATCTGTTAAAGGTACCTGATCAGTATTCATGCAACACTCATTTCGTTACTATCAAGTTGCAAATAAAAGCTGGAGCTCTAATTGAAATCTGCGAATGACAGGTCGGTGTCTTCATTAGTTCTAAGCTTTAAAAGTCAGTCAAGGTCAGATTTATAGAAAATTAGTTCAGGCTGATGTGTTTGACAAGTAGTTTGATGTGTTAGCATGTTGGAATTTTTGTTGCATTAGGGAGAAGTTACCAAAGAAAGCTGCTAGAGAACTGTTTTTGGTAGTTGAAGTAATGGCTACAAGTTTATCTTGCAACGCTGATATAGTTGAATTTGAGTTCACATGTTCTTGTTTCAGTCTATCAGGCAGCATTTATTGTTTTTCTTTCCTCATCCCTCAGTTTCTGTCTCTTATATATTAATTCATGTGTACATGTTATCTTAGAATCTTGATAATAAGTTCATTTGTGTCTTCTTTTTTGATTGTTGCAGATTCCAATTTAAGTTATTCCTGAACTTGTAACCAAAGGGCTTTCTGAAGTGATGGAACTCAAATCATGGGTTTGGAAGAAAAAATTACTGAGAAAACAATGATTGCAGCTGATAAAGTAAATAGAGAGAATGAAGACGAGGTAGATAAAGCATCCTCTTCTTACTTGTTCATTCTCTTTTACTCCGTCCCTTCCAAAAAGTGAAAAAATTGATTCACTATCAAATTTCATGTTTATACGTACTGTTTTTACCTTGAAAGCCTAAGCGTTGGTCTTTTCTGTGGATGCAGCATAAAATAATTATGATGTTTTGATGAGGAAAACCAGTCCTATCATGTATAAGTTAGAATGGCCTAATTGACATTATTCTGCATCAAGGTTCTAACCTGCCTTCATCAAACTACCCAAAAATAAGCTTCATTGATTTCTCAATCTTCCCCACACATCATTTAAAAGTTTAGGCAATTGAAATTTGTATGCATGATGTCAGAATCACTTTTTACCGAGAATTGTTTTAGTTGAACAGAGAGGAAGAAGTGACCAAGAGGCATGCATAGGATAATAAGCTGCTAGTTCTTCTAAGCTTGATTAATTGTAGTATTTACCAAATAGTTTGCATGATCTGATTGATGTATTTCACATGGTCATACGTTACATGGCATTCAAGTCATGCGAAGTGAGAAAAAGTTCCTGTAAGA